CCCCAAAGAAGACAGGAGAAAGCATTCAGACTCACAAGGGGTAGCTTTGACCTACCAGCCCCAGCTCCTAATGAGGATTAACTTTGGGGGTGCAGGGAGGTGACTCTGCCCATGCTCCGCACCAACCCATTGCCCCCAAATATTTCCCGGCAGTTCCTGATGGGGCGGTGGAGGGACCACCCCACTCACCTCGAGCGCCACCGTGATCAGCGGGACCAGCCTGTGGACCTGCGCTGCGGGTCGCTAATAAAAGAAGCCTGAGTCCGAGCCGGCCAATGAGCGCCCGAGGTACCGGGCAATAGCCAATGAGAAGGGAACACCAAGGCACCTGTGTTGGGGGCTCTGCCGGTGGGCGGGTGAGCATCCGCCCGGAGCTGGCCTCCTCTGAGTGCTGATGGTGACTGCCAGCTGCCGCCCTTAACCTTCAGGGATATTTGACAGGCGTTTTAATTAACCTCATACTGGGCCATCCTTAACCACAAAAGTCTGACTAATATTAAACAATCCAGAGTTAGAACTTCCCTCCAAACCAAATAACCTCTATTACAGACTTAATGACTTCCTGTAGGCTTGTAGGGCTCCCCTCTGGTTGGAGAGCAAGGTAGAAATCCTCACCACCCCACCCCATCTCTGTGCTTCTGGGTTATGTGATAGCCCAGTCCTGCCGCATACTTTTCTGAGTGTCGTTCCTTGTTCTTTTAGGCTGCGCAATGGATGGACTTCTACTTAGAAGGGAAGCTCTCAGTGCACTTGTCATTTATTTTTTTTTAAGCTGCAAGCCGGTGAGCGTGCTAGATGAACAGAAGGTAAATGTTTGAAATACCTTCCTTTTTGGTTGAGTAGTCTGTTGGTTATGTCTTACCACAAAGAACACAATACTTCTGTCCCTTTGCATCCTGTGAGGACTGCTTCCCGGACCCCTACAGATGCCACAACCTAGGAATACTCAAGTCCCTCATACCGAATTTATATCTAATCTCTACACATCTTCCTCTATGCTATAATTAATCTTTAGATTACTTACATCTAATTTAAGTGCTAATTTAAGGTGTATAGTTGTTATACTATATTGCTTAAGGAACAATGACAAAGAATAAAAGTCTGCACGCAGGCAACTTCCCCCCACACACACAATATTTTCAGTCCAGGGGTAATTGAGTAGATGTGTCGCTCTTGTGTATGTAGGGTCAACTATACTAGTTAACATGCCACAGGTAGGACATTCTTATGTCTTACTTTTGAAAAGTTGGTTTTATTGATGTATAAACACTGAGTTATCCACTTCTTTATGGGGTAGAGGGGTTTGAATTCAGGACCTCATGCTTACTAAGCAGGCACTCTACCACTTGAGCCATGACCCCATCCCCATTCTGTGTTGGTTATTTTAAAGATAAATTCTCACTTTATGCCCTGGCTAGCCTCAATCGCAACCTATTTGTGCTTCCCTTTGTCACTGGGATGACAGGCATACATTATGGTGCCCGGCCATTGGTTGAAATAGAATCTCACACACTTCTTTTTGCCCAGGCAATCTCAAATATTGTGATCTTGTATCTCCAACTTCCAAGTACCTAGGATTACAGGCTTAAGTCACCCAGCCCAGCTATCCACGACAAAATAAACAGTATCTAACTACCAAACATCAAAAGATGGAACATATCTATGACACAAAAAATTCCCTTGCCTCAATCTACTCCTCCTACATGCTGTCCCTGGAAACTATTTGATTTCTGTCTCTATAATTTTGTCTTTTCTGGAATGAGAAAAATTGACAAAATCTATAGGCTTTTGATTCCTAGCACTTAACACAGTGCTTTTGAACCTCATGTTGCACGTATCAGTTGCATGGCTGAGTACAGCTGTACTTTAATTTCAGGAAACATAGCTTCCACAATTTTTCAGTTTTTCTTTTAGTCTATACAATAATTCTATTAAATACTATTCTTTTTTTGTGTGTGTGTCGGTCATGGGGCTTGAACTCTGGGCCTGGGCGCTGTCCCTCAGCTCTTCAGCTCAAGGCGAGCGCTCTACCACTTGAGCCACAGTGCCACTTCCGGCTTTTTTTCTTTTTGCTTATGTGGTGCTGGGGAATCGAACCCAGGGCCTCATGCATGCAAGGCAAGCGCTCTACCACTGAGCCACCTTCCCAGCCCAGTAATTACTCTCTTAAGAGAGCTGTGAAGTAGTTTTTTTCACAAACCAAGAAGATAAGAACCAAATATGGAGAGCCTAAGAGTCTTTACCACCAAATGCAAAGGTCTGCCTATGTGTGCACTTAGAGCATAAGAACTCAGAGCGAGATCATGAATACAGGAAGATTTCAGACAACATAGCCTTTCCATAACTTGACTTCTTTATTTATAAAATGTGTTATCTCATAGTGTTATTATGAGGATTAGTTGAGTTCATACTTACAAAGCATTTAGAGAGGTACTAGATAAGCAATTTTTCCATGCACAATCATTGAGAAAGAATGCAGAAATACAAACATGTAAGTCTGAGAGAGACGAAAGATGTGATAGTAAAACAAAAGGCCCTTTAGCATTATTCTTCAGAAAAACCAAAATTCCATTTGTGAATCTGTGGGTATGAAACAGAGGCTACTTCTACACAGAAAAAGATTACAAGTTTTAGAGGTATTAGGAGCCATATGGGATTCTATCCATGTTCAAATGGAAATTAATTTGAGTAGGCTAAGATACAATCTCTTGAGTGCTCAGGATCCAAATCTACTAAATCCTCTCCCACACACACCAAAAGCACCATAATCTTAACAAAATACAATGACATCTTCAGTGAGCTCATCTCAGATAATACCCGATGGCTTTATGAGAAGAGTTGGCTAGAAGTCTACTTATACACAGAATACCTAAGATCTAAAGCTACTACCTGTCCCCTCCCCCACTACCCCAGGAGAGCTCCATAATCTTCACATGATGCCTTCAGCAAGCTCATCTCAGATAACACCCAATGGTTTTATGGAGAGAGCTGGTAACAATCTGCTTACACACAACATGACGCAAATTTTGCTATTCCAAATGTCTCGATTCTCAATTATACTTTTAAACATTATGCTTGAAAAACATGCTTGTCATTGGAATAATTTTGCTTCATCACATAACCCCCAAAATATTGGTCATTCCAAACACCCTGAGGATGAGTGTGGGTTATGACAAGGCCTTCCCCTTGCTGTGCATTTAGTTTGCCTAAATCCCACAGTGAGTGTCAGAAGCAAGCTACAGTGAGGCCTCACCTGTCTAAGGAAACTTTTTACCTCAGTGGATTGCAGCATTTCAAAAAGTAGACTAAGGAATTCAGTGGACTTACTTCATGTTTCAGTTATTTTTCAGCTCTTTAGCCTTCATTATCTTTAGGTCTGAATTCCATAGAAACCAGAAATCACTCACTATCAGCTGGAAGAACCCAAATAGCCTGAGTCCTGAGCTCACAATTCACATACAAGAGTCAGGAGCTAAGATCTGAGGATAGTGGTTCAAAGCCCACATGGGCAGAAAAGTCCATAAGATTTTTATCTTCAAGTAACTAGCAAAAAGCTGCAAGTTGTGGAAAAGCAAAGGAAGGAGGGACACTGTCCAAAAGAGAATTGTACTCATTAGCTAAATTGTGAAATGGTAACTCTTGTGTACAACACCTTATTAATAACAATAAAATTATATTTTAAAAAACTGGAAGTAAAGGTGTGGTTCAAGTGGTAGAGCACTAGATTTGAGTGCCCTGACCCTGAGTTCAAGCCCTGGTAACAGGGAAAAAAAAAGACTGTGGATGGTACTCCCTGGAGTCATTCAAAGTAACATTTCTGCTCATATTAATAAAGCAAACTATAAAAAAAAGTGCAACTACTTCAAATCACTCCTGGTGCTTGGTACACTTGGTTTCCTCCATCTTTGCTGCCTTGGTGTTTGTTTTGTGCTGTTTAAAGAGGCGTTATGACCTCTTTTCTTCAAGGCAGCAGTCATTTCTCCTAGAGCAAGTCAAACAGTATTTGCTGGGGCTGCTGAAAGCAAAGCCAGTACCATTTGTCTAATTAACAATCCCTGGAAAGATACCTTTTTATGAAAGAGTATCACAGTGTCTACATGAGGGAAAAAGAAAACTCAATGATCAAATCCCTTCTTCATTTCTGCTACTGAGCTCAAGGTAGTGTGGCCCAACTTTTATGGCTATGGAAAAGACTGAGAAAAGCTGAATGGGACCCACTGGAAGGGTCAACAGAAGAAAATACGCCATGTGGAGAGACAAGAAATGCCATTCCTGAGTTATCAATGTAAAGAACGGAGAGTACTTACCCTCTTCTTTGGGAAAATCCTATCTACTCATGGCCCAGCCCCTCACTTGGAAGAGGGGAATCAGGGTACCTTCTCATAGGTGCTAAATATAAGAACACTTTACAGGCTCCACTGTGACCCATATTAATAAGCTCTAGCTTTTCCCTATGCAGAGTAGCAGCCATGCCCTTGATCCTCCTTTATTCTCATTAGGGGGAAGAGGAGGCTTTGGCTTATTCATTATGTAATACTTTCTTGAGTAAGCAACCAAGACACTCATAATCAGATTGACACAATCTGGATGTGACTTGCTAAGAGTTTGATACACCGAGGGCTCTGGAGGATTCACAAAATGTTTGGCCAAAGGGTTTAAATAGAGACTTCTCAGAAGAAGTAAGAATGCCAAATAAACACATGAAGAAAGGCTCCCTGGCCACAAAAGAAATGCAAATCCAAACAACTTCGAGATTCCATCTGACCCTAATTAGTTTGGCCAACATCAAAAATTTGAACAACAACAAATGCTGGCAGGGATATAAGGAAAAGGAACTCTGTCCGTGGGAATGTAAACTAGTATAACCACTCTGGATGGCAGTTAGGAGATTCCGCAACAACAACAGAGAAAAACATAGAACTACCTTCTATTGCAGCCACACCACTCCTGGACATCTACCCACAACATTACAAGTCAGTATATGGTAAAGACATTTGCATATCCACAGTCATTTCTGCACTATTCAAAATAGCTGTTTATAGAAATAATCCAGATGCCCTACACTGGATAAGAGGAAGGCAAAAAAAAGTGTGGCCAGGAAAATGGAAGCCTGAGAGTCCAAGATCAGCCCCTGCACTTTGTCAATGGCATGGGTAAATACAGCTTAGTGAATTCAGGGCTGCTTCAACTCAGCTAAGATCCTCTCGTGGGCTCCTGCACATGATCTCAATCTGTCTTGGAGCCTATGTTCATACTCACCACACTTGGTCAGGGAGACACACTCCTGGCAGAAGGCACAGAAAAGAACGTTCCACACATGGCCATCCTCCCTCCCAACCAGCTCAGGAGTAAGGCAGAAATGGGTATTGTTTGCCTCCGCAATAAAATCATTGAATACAATATGTAGAGCTTTAAATCAGCCTCATAAGTGTCTCCAGGCAACTCCTGCCAGAAAGGTAGGGAGACAGAGAAGTACAAAAAAAAAACCTCCAATGCCACAGAAAAGGACTAGTGTATCTCTTACAAAAGCCTGGCAGTGGAAATGCTATAAAATAGAAAAGTCTGAGTTGACTATGAAATCCAATCAGCATAATGCAACACTCAAAATGCAAACCCTCACCAGTTGGGGCAAACACTTCTTCCATGCCACAGTGACATTCCTTCTGAAAGCACTGCAAAAATCACCATGAAGGCCATAGAAAAAAACCAAAAACAAAAAAAACAAGAGATCAAGACCACAAAGGTGTTACTTGCAAAGGGTTAGTTTCCTTGTGGTAGTAGTGGCTTTAAGAAGACTTAATCTGCATGTATATCTCAAGGACAAAGGAGGTCAGTGCCATGTTTGTACCACCTGAAACATAGTTAATATAGGAGTGCTAATAGACCACCTCCAGGAAATACCAGGGACGCTGGCTTTCAGGAACTGGCACAACAGCTATTAATTAGTTCCCAAGTTTCTCTCCTATCTTAACCTTGGTAGTCCCCCTAACTGAGCACACCATTTACCATGTGGTAAACTCAAGTCACAACAGAATGAGTGGGAAGTATTCGTCCCCAGTTCAATTTCTCTCTCACTGGCTCAATAATCGTCCGCAGAGCACTCAATGAGCACATCCTGAGAGTCTCTGACCAAGGCTATGACACTTAACAGGACCTATGCTCTATGAACATCTCATCTCAGTTTTCCCACAGAGAACCAGTCCTCTGCCTACTGAAACTCTCCAACAGCAACTGTACAGAAACTAGCACTAGCATCCAGTAGGAGGGAACTAGTCAAGAGTGATGATAAACCTGGCATAGGGGTGCACACCCATAATCTCAGAACTCAGGAAGCAAAGATTGTGAGGTCCAAGCCAGCTTAGGCTACATAGCCAATGGCAGCATCACCCCCTGCCCTTCTTGCTTAAAAAAGAAAAATTTGAGCTACAATTTTAGAGACAGAAAAGATTTGGGGTTTGAACTCAGGGCTTTATGCTAAGAGCTCTGCCAATGAGCCATATTTCCATATCATTTAAAATTTAGGTAATTTTTTAAATAGGGTCTTACGTTTTTGTTTAGACCAGCCTAGACCACAATCGCATTACCTATGGCCTTCCATATAGCTGGGAACACAGGCACGTACCGACACCCTGTTGAGACAGGGTCTTCTTGCTAACGGTTTTGGGGATTGAATTTAGAGACAGGCAGGAACTCATCACTTAAGCCATGTCCCCAATTCCTTTTCAATTTTATTTTCAAGGCAGGGTCTCAACGTATGTACTAGCCATTCTGGGCTTTGGTCCTCCCACTTGTGCTTCTGGTTTTTACTTCCCCATGTCACAAGGGATGACAGATGAGTACCACTGTGCCTGGTCATTGTGCTTCCCCTACAACTGGGAAAACAGGCATGCACCATTGCACCCAGCCATTGGTTCAGATGGAGGCTTTCAAAATTTTATGCCCAGGGCTGGGATGTAGCTCAGTGGCAAAGCGCTTGCCTAGCAAGTGCAACGTCCTGGGTTCGATCCCCAGTAAGAAAAAAGAAAAGACAAAAAAAATACAGTTAAAAAAAAAAACCCAAACAAAATTTTACGCCCAGTTTGCCCTCAAACTGCAACCTCCCAATTTCTACCTAATAGGCTCAAGCCACCACACCCAATCCCCCCGTCTTTTTCCCCCCACCCCGTCTTTTTTGTGATACTGGAAACAACACAGAGCCACAAACCTGCTAGGCAGACCTTTTGCCACTTGATCCATACTCCTACAATTTTTTGCCTTGGCTGGCCTGAGACCATGATCTTTTTTTTTTTGGTCCGGTCGTGGGGCCTGAACTCTGGGCCTAGGCGCTGTCCCTCAGCTCTTCAGCTCAAGGCTAGCGCTCTACCACTTGAGCCACAGTGCCACTTCTGGCTTCTTTTTTGCCTATGTGGTGCTGAGGAATCGAACCCAGGGCCTCAGGCATGCAAGGCAAACGCTCTACCACTGAGCCACCTTCCCAGCCCTGAAAAGAAAGATTTTTAACCAAACTCTGGCCTGTAGCACGTAAGTGAACAGAGGCTTCTCTGTGATAGAAATGGACACAGGTCAAACTTCTAGACCAACTCACTTCTCCTGACAATTGCATCAACTATGACCCCCATCTTAGCCCCTCCATACTCATCCCCAGGACCAGCTGTCCACCATGAGACAATCTTTCACGTGTGTGCCTTAGGTTGATTCACTGCTCGGTGTTTTTGCTGTTTAGAATTACTTATGTACAGCTATACCCTTCTTCCAGTGTCTTCCTCCTCTCCACCATCTAATGACTTTCTTCTGGTGCTTTCTATCCAGAATTGCAAGAGGTAAACATCTTCACTCTTATTGGCAACAAATCCTTGAATCCGTTTCCCATCCCTTCTGGAGATGAATAGCATGGAGAGGAAATGAGAGGAAACATTTTTTTTCTTCTTCAATTAACTTTCATTTGGCATCTCTGGAAATTCAAGTCTGAGTAAACTCTGACTCCAGAACAACCAGGATGATATGATTATGGAAAATGTTAATCTCTCCATCAAAGGAGAGACAGCTCAGTTACGGAGCAGTTGGCACGTTCTTCTAAAGGGCCTCTGCAGGATGAGCCTACTGGTTTCCCTCAGGAGCCACAAAGCTCAGGGTTCCTAAGAGACAAGATAGTCCTGAGTTGCAGAGTTGGTCTAGTATATTGTATGCTTACCCACAATTGTGCTAAAGAAATCAGCAACCCATACTGACATATTCAAACAGAATAAAGGAGAAGATCCGCAACACAAACATTTCCAGATCACTGAAGACTCATGTGAAAATGTGAAATTTACATTGTTAAAGACCATTCAGA